ATGGAAGGTCCCTGCAAAATTTCATTGAAATTGGTTCAGGGGTTTTGGAGAAGAAGATTTTTGAAATTTTAGTCAATTTGACCCTTTTTGGCCCCGCCCCTCAGGCCCCTGAGGGCTGGGGACGAAACCGGCAACTATTTTTGTTGACATTTGGCAATGGAAGGTTTCTGCAAAATTTCATTGAAATTGGTTCAGGGGTTTTGGAGAAGAGGTCGAAAATGTAAATTGTTTACGGACGCACGACGGACGACGGACGACGATGGACAAAAGGCGATCGCAATAGGTCACTTGAGACTTTGTCTCAGGTGACCTAATAATTGATTTACTAAACAGAATAATATCAATTTTAACCACAGTTTTCCCCCAGACAGATTCTGACACTGTTACGTGTATATACACTCCTAATATCTCATTAATATCGACAGAAATGGCGAGACGTTAGTTATCAGAGATCGTTTAAGCAAATAATCTATGATTGAGCATGGGGACAGTTTCATGAATACAGCCCCTGAGGTCAAGATGACATGTCAGTCCGATACAATGATGTAATCACATAACCATATTACACAGACTCTGTACATTTACATCGGTATTAGATCTTACCTGTGCATTACTGCCCCCAACATTAACGAGTTCGTGCCGGAGGGGATAGGTGAGGTCCACAACCTTCCCGTGATCGCCCTCATCATGGGCTTGTAGAGCCTCACAGAGGGGCAGTAGGATCCTCTCGGACACCCCCTTACTTCGACCATGTCCGTTACTGTATAACATAGAGACTAGACTTTACTCTCACAGAGAGGGAGTAGGATCCTCTCGGATACCCCCTTACTTCGACCATGTCCGTTACTGTATAACAAATAGACTAGATTATACCCTCACAGAGAGAAAGTCGGATCCTTTCGGACACCCTCTTACTTCGACCATGTCTGTTACTGTATAACATAGAGACTGGACTATAACCTCACAGAGAAGGAGAAGGATCCTTTCGGACACCCCCTTACTTCGACCATGTCCGTTACTGTATAACATAGAGACTAGACTAAATCATCACAGAGAGGGAGTAGGATCCTCTCGGACACCCTCTTACTTCGACCATGTCCGTTACTGTATAACATAGAGACTAGACTATAACCTCACAGAGAGGGAGTAGAATCCTATCGGACACCCTCTTACTTCGACCATGTCCGTTACTGTATAACATAGAGACTAGACTATAACCTCACACAGAGGGAGTAGGATCCTCTCGGACACCCTCTTACTTAGACCATGTCCGGTACTGTATAACATAGAAACTAGACTATACCCTCACAAGGAGGGAGTAGAATCCTCTCGGACACCCCCTTACTTCGAACATGTCTGTTAATGTATAACATAGAGACTAGACTATACCCTTACAGAGAGGGAGTAAGATCCTCTCGGACACCCTCTTACTTAGACCATGTCCGTTAGTGTATAACATAGAGACTAGACTATACCCTCACAGAGAGGGAGTAGGATCCTTTCGGACACCCCCTTACTTCGACCATGTCCGTTACTGTATACAGAAGGGCAGTAGGATGCTCTCGGACACCCTCTTACTTAGACCATGTCTGTTACTGTATAACATAGAGACTCTACTATACCCTCACAGAGAGGGAGTAGGATCCTTTCGGACACCCCCTTACTTCGACCATGTCCGTTACTGTATAACATAGAGACTAGACTATACCCTCACAGAGAGGGAGTAGGATCCTCTCGGACACCCTCTTACTTAGACCATGTCCGTTACTGTGGTACACTCTCTAAATACAGTCTAACTTGAGAACCCGTACAGAGTATATCTCCGACTAGTTTAACCGACTGAATATTCATGTTTATCTAGCTCAACTTAGTCCTAAATTAAAGTTTTAAAATGAGATTCCCATCAATTGCCTAGTTTCCGCGAAACTAGGAAGTCAGTTGACTGAAATTAAGAAATAAATATATACATGTATATTCATCCAAGACTTCTACTTTCAATATCGGTAATCAGCGCTTGATCTTTTTATAAATAAGATTGACAAATTCGAATCGAATGACAAACATCTACAGACTTGTAAGACAGAACATGCTAACGTGACTAGTAAGACCGAACATGCTAGCGTGATTAGTAAGACAGAACCAGCTAACGTGACAGTAAGACAGAACATGCTAGCGTGACTAGTAAGACAGAACATGCTAACGTGACTAACGTGACTAGTAAGACAGAACATGCTACTAGCGTGACTAGTAAGACAGAACATGCTAGCGTGACTAGTTAGACAGAACATGCTAGCGTGACAGTAAGACAGAACCAGCTTGCGTGACTTGTAAGACAGAACCAGCTAACGTGACTAGTAAGACAGAACCAGCTAGCGTGACTAGTAAGACAGAATATGCTAACGTGACTTGTAAGACATAAAATGCTAGCATGACTAGTAATACAGAACATGCTAACGTGAATTGTAAGACAGAACCAGCTAGCGTGACTTGTAAGACACAACCAGCTAACGTGACTTGTAAGACAGAACATGCTAACGTACTTGTAAGACATAACATGCTTGCGTGACTAGTAAGACAGAACATGCTAACGTGACTTGTAAGAGAGAACCAGCTAACATGACTTGTAAGACAGAACCAGCTAGCGTGACTTGTAAGACAGAACATGCTAACGTACTTGTAAGACAAAACCAGCCAGCGTGACTAGTAAGACAGAACCAGCTAGCGTGACAAGTAAGACAGAACATGCTAACGTGACTTGTAAGACAGAACATACTAACGTGACTTGTAAGACAAAACCAGCTAGCGTGACTAGTAAGGTAGAACCAGCTAGCGTGACTAGTATGGTAGAACCAGCTAGCGTGACTAGTAAGGTAGAACATACTAACGTGACAAGTAAGGTAGAGCCAGCTAGCGTGACTAGTAAGGTAGAGCCAGCTAGCGTGACTAGTAAGGTAGAGCCAGCTAACGTGACTTGTAAGGTAGAACCAGCTAGCGTGACAGGTAAGGTAGAGCCAGCTAACGTGACTAGTAAGGCAGTACATGTATTTGTCTCTCAGAAATGACTTCTCCTTTGGCTGTATTGACAATGACGAATCGTCCACTTGGTGCAGTAAATGTATACTTTGGTAGGCTTTCAATGTTTATATGGATGCTTCCTCACTTTGTTTTCCTGGAGAGTATTATTTATATCCTATCAATGACGAGTACCTGACGGAATCCCTAAAGGTGTCCATAAACGTGTTGACGGCAGCTGTGTCCTTGGCCCCTAGACACGTCATCAGGAGGTGAGGGTCTGTGTATAAGTTTAGGTGGCTGTCTATTCCACCATTCACAATCTCAAATACATCTTGCCATCTGTCCCCGACTGACACATCTGAAATTCGTTCAAAAGATATTTAACCAACAAATTAATTGATTAAACTCAAATGTTATCCTCTAACCTCCCTATCGATGTTTAACTAAGTATAATCCTTAAGTATTGTCATCTGATCAGATTTTGTCATCTCTGCCTAATTGCTACATATATATGTAAAAATTGCACAAAGAAATCAAACCTCTATATCAAATACGTCACACTCGCCAATTAATTACGGATCAAAAATTGAAAATACGTATCTATTAACTCTTACCGTACCATGTCCCAACAATAACTCCACAGTTTGGATTTGAATAGATGTAAAGAACCGTAATTTGGCGCGGTAAGAAATTGCGAGTTCAAATACAGCAAAAACGTATATTAAGGGGCATTTTAATAAATGATGTTTTTATTCATTTGCCTGGCACAAATATCAAAAACTTTAAGAAAGTTATTTAGATGCTAAATTTAGGAAATACGTAAACGTATTTAACAGTAAAAACTCATCACCGTCTCTTGAAAGTTATTTTTGCTTGGCTCACACGCATTGAATCGCCATCTCTCATTACATTTTTCTAATATCTCTCATTGTACTTAACTATACTAACACATCTCATTACACTTAACTAACATCTCTGATTACACTTTTTTCTGGACTTACATATCTCATGATACTTAACTGTACTTACATCTCCGATTCAATTTCACTGAACTTACATCTCTGATTACATCTTTGCCGAACTTACATCTCTGATTACACTTTGCCGAACTCACATCTCTGATTACACTTTGCCGAACTTACATCTCTGATTACACTTTGCCGAACTTACATCGCTGATTACACTTTGCCGAACTCACATCTCTGATTACAATTTGCCGAACTTACATCTCTGAGGACACTTTGCCGAACTCACACCTCTGATTACACTTTTCATAACTTACATCTCTGATTACACATTTCTGAACTTACATTTCTGTTTACTTTTTTCTGAACTTACATCTCTAATTACACTTTTCTGAACTAACATCTCTGATTACACTTTTCTGAACTTACATCTCTGATTACATTTTTCTGAACTTACATTTCTGTTTACCTTTTTCTGAACTTACATCTCTGATTATAATTTTTTGAACTTACATTTCTGTTTACCTTTTTCTGAACTTACATTTCTGATTACAATTTTTGTGAACTTACCTTTCTGTTTACCTTTTTCTGAACTTACATTTCTGTTTACCTTTTTCTGAACTTACATCTCTGATTATACTTTTCTGAACGTAAATCTCTGATTACATTTTTCTGAACTTATATTTCTGATTACATTTTTCTGAACACACATCTCTGATTACACTTTTTTTCCTGAACCTACATATCTGATTACACTTTGCAACTTAAATTTCTGATTACATTTTTTCTTAACTTACATCTCTGATTACACTTATCTGAACTAACATCTCTGATAACACTTTTCTGAACTTACATCTCTGACAACACACTTCTGAACTTACATCCTTAATTACATTTCTGAATTTACATCTCTGATTACACTTTTCCGTACTTACATCTCTGATTACACTTTTCTGAACTTACATCTCTTATTACACTTTTCCTTACTTACATCTCTGATTTCACATTTCTGAACTTACATTTCTGTTTACCTTTTTCTGAACATACATCTCTGATTACACTTCTCTGAACTTACATCAGTGATTACACTTTTCTGAATTTACATGTTACATGTTACTCTACATTTGTCATTAGGCTTTACTGTACTTATATATCTCAATACACATAAGGCACTTTCATCTCCAATATCACTTTACTACGTATTCAAATCTATTGCTAAAACACAACGTACTTTCTCTTAATTTACCATTATACTTTAATGTACTTACTCTATAATTACTGATACCACTATACCGTATTAACTCTTAAATTACCATTATACTTTACCGTGCTTACTCTTAAATCACTCATACCACTATACCGTATTTACTCTTAAATTACCATTATACTATACCGTACCTACTCTTAAATTACCATTATACTTTATCGTACTTACTCTTAAATCACTCATACCACCATACCGTATTTACTCTTAAATTACCATTATACTATACCGTACTTACTCTTAATCACTCATACCACTATACCGTACTTACTCATACCAGTATACCGTACTTACTCTCCAGTTCCAGCCGGTATAATAGAGAGCTACAGTCTACCATCTGACCAATCGACTTTGAGGCTTTGTACCGTTTGACAAGCTGAAATAAAGTTTTCAAGCAAGAAAATATTTATTAAGTTTTGCATAACATTGAGAATGAGAAATCACCACCCAAGAGTGACCAACTAAAGTTTCACACACATCTGAGTATGTTTAAGGCGTTTAAGTGTCTGGTGCCTTAATGTAACATGTTATAAATAAAATGTACGACGATTAACTATTACTTTGGTAAACTATGTCATTAAGTAAGTCGCTGTGATCACATTATAGACAGATTTGTCTTATCTCGATATTCAACCTATTATATTATGTATTGATTTGGAGCATCCTTGTCCAAAACCAGTATTTCCCTTTTTGATTTACACAATATCATTGGATCTTAATTTTTACATCGCACTCACTTGTTTGAATATTTAGAGCAAACATCTTGTCACAGGATTCTTGTTTTTTGATTATGCTGATAACTCTGTTATAGCATTTAAATTATTTATATCTGAGCCGAGAACGTCTGAAGATATTCAAACACTCATTGAGATCAGTTATCCCATATCGATACAGTAGTTCGAGTCGACAGCTACTCTACCTGATATTGAGTAACACTAAGTAGTTTGTGTCGACAGCTATAGCCTGATATTGAGTAACACTAAGTAGTTTGTGTCGACAGCTATAGCCTGATATTGAGTAACACTAAGTAGTTTTGAGTCGACAACTATAGCCTGATATTGAGTAACACTGAGTAGTTTGATTCGACAGCAATAACACTAAGTGGTTTGAGTGTCGACAGCTATAGCCTGATATTGAGTAACACTTAGTGGTTTGAGTCGACAGCTATAGCCTGATATTGAGTTACACTAAGTAAGTTATAGTCTGATATTGAGTAACACTTAGTGGTTTGAGTCGATAGCTATAGCCTGATATTGAGTAACACTTAGTGGTTTGAGTCGATATCTTTTTCCCGTTATCTTAGACTGAAATGAGCTCAGTGAGTCCGACAGAACGATTGTTGTCATACCGTTATTACGTTTATACATCTGTTCTTCGTTGTCCGATTAAATGATGCCTTGTAGTACCTATGGTGTTTTTGTGAATAGTAAAATATTGTATACACTCAGTCCTACTCGGTAGTCTGATGATTGTATGGGAGCGTCGGTATATAATTCAGTAAAACTACAATAATCGTTATTTATTTTTATTTCTATAAATATTTATTTCTAAAGCATGCTTACTAAGATTATTGTTTGAAACTTAAGAGAGATGGCAAAATTATTGGAGGTGTGTCTAAACGGAAGGCAGAAACATTGTATCTTTAAATGATATGGTGATATTTCTATTGATTAGATACAGTCACTTTAAAACTATAAGATAAATGAAGAAGTATTTGTAAACAATGTTAAAAAAAAATCCGAAAGAATTAAGTCTATATTTAATCAATTAAAGATATTTTTGAATGTAATATACATAGTACATACTTTTAATAACGGGATTATATGTGATATCTGTATTGTTTAAATGATATGCAATTAACTTTTATCTCGATAGGTTTATGAGATATATCTTAAAATACATAGCTCTTTATATTACTAAATGTAGCATTTGGTTGTCATACTTTTACTATTTGGTTTTATAAAGACTTATGTTCCGTTTGTTGCTGTAAGACGATGTCAAGTACCAATATGAAGACAACTATTTACCTGTTTTCATTACTGTGGTCCTAACTTTTACCCAGATACAGAAGTCAGCTGTTTAAGACAAAAGCATGAATTAATTTTACCAATCGCTCACCTCGTTATCAAAAATTCCCAGAGCTTCTTCGTAACTGCCCTAAAATTAAACAAATAACTGTTAATGCACTTTGTATAGGGAGTGTACAACTTCCTCAAGTAAAATCAAAACTTTATTATGAAGCAACATAACATTAAAGAAAGCAGTATCTTATATAAAAAGAATGATTAAGTAGTAATAAAACACAATGATCGCAAACATCAATGTACATTTGATCACCTTGACCACATATTTTAATTATGTCCAGGTAACTTCGGACATGTAATTCTATATGGTGTAAGGTTAGTCTCAGTAACAATTCACTGACAGTTTACTTAAGAAAGTGCAACATCTCTCTCATCAAAACCGTGACGTTGATGTTATCCTGATATACATTCAGATTATTCTGAGTGACGGGGGATGTTTTACGTTTTTGTTGATAACGACCTTACACGTACATGGTATACTAATTAAGGCTGTGGGGAATCGTTGTACTGTTTACCTTTTCCACGTAATACAAGCTGTTGTGCCAGTACAAATGGCAGGCCAGCCTATCACACGCCTGTTAATGAGGCAAGCAAGTATATTAGTTAAGCTTAAATTATATGAGTATAATTATTTCATTATCTAAAGCACGAAGGTAATTTATCTACAACGTAATTTGTTGTATTATTACGGGAAAGAACGGCTCTTAAAACGAGTAAAATCGCAAATAAACCCACAAAAGTCATCTTGAAAATAATAAATTTGAGCTCTAAATTTGAACATGCATTTAAAAAGAAAAATACATCTCCATTTATGTGGAGGTGAAGATTATGACATAATATTTAATATTTTCATTTAACGTCTGAGGTAAAATTTGCGTCACGTGTCGTTTGTCCAAATGGGACTCAGCTTCAACGTAGCCAACCATTTCGCCTCATTCGGCAAAATTGTCGCCATATTGGTTAGCTACTTACGCGTTAGTAGTTACAAGTTGTCGTTATAGAAGCTTGTCTTAATTCGGGTCAGGCAGCCAGCGTAAGTGTCGTCGATTTGGACCCATTTACTGAGCTCAGGTATAGTAAGACAGACGTTCGTGATCTCAAATGAGAGAGATAAGTGATCTTTGCGCATACATTTGCCAATTTGTCTCGGGTTATAAGTAAGTTAACTGAGATTTATATAAAAGTTAAAATTAAAAAAAAAATCGTGACATTGTATATATTTGTTTACTCAATCATATATTATTAATTATTTTTTACTTTGAACTGACACAAAGCTTCTCCATGATATTCGGATTTATGAGACAATGGGCACATATCTTTATATAACGATATTCTTACATTCCAGTCGTTTTCCGTTCCCTCCACAAGTTTCAATCCTTCTTCCACTCGGCCCTGCATCTCATACACATGTGATATAGCATGAGTGGCAAAGATATCGTGTTTGTTCATTTCTAAAGCCTGAAAAAAAATAATGGTATTGTATTATACACTTTCGGGTGGAGGCCGGAAGGTTAGTTTTCATTTATCGTACGAGTTATTTCCCTTGTTTCGTGATTTTAACCTGCTGGACTGGGGAGAAAAGTAGTGAGAAAACAGTTAACCTGCTGGACTGTATACTATTTGTAAAGTAAGAGTGTCCTCCCTTGTTTTAATTCTACGAGTAGGGGGGAAAGTAGTGAGAAAACAGTTAAAAAGTATGTCGTAGCTCCCTTAATACAACTTCCAGTAAGTTCCTCGCGAGTTTAACTTCCTAAAGCAAGCCAGGATTTCCGTTGAATAAAGAGTAACAATTTGAAATAGACATAGTTTTTGGGAAATGTGTATGTTTTGAAATGTGTATGATTAGGTTAGCAGAAATATTTTCTTTTCAATTGTATGGGTGGATGTTTTTACTGGCAGTAAATAACATATATTCTGTACAGTGAAAATCTAGAAATGTTAGCCCTATCTATTTCCATACTTTTCTCCCCTGTAAAAAAGAACTTTTAAATAATTTCGGCATTCGGCTATGGTGTTGGTACAGACAGGTAATTACTGAACAAGACGTTCATGGTCAGCTGTCTCTTAGACCTTTGTAGCACTTAATACCAGCAGGTTGTGTCTTAGACTTTTGTAGCACTAATACCAGCAGGCTTTGTCTTAGACTTTTGTAGCACTAATACCAGCAGGCTGTGTCTTAGACTTTTGTAGCACATAATACCAGCAGGCTGTGTCTTAGACCTTTGTAGCACTAATACCAGGAAGTTGTTTCTTAGACCTATGTACAGACCCCGGACCGTTTTTCTTGTCCGTTTAAACGCAAACGCAACGCAAACGGCACGCAAACGCAACGCAAACGCAACGGAAATTCAACGCAAACGCACACAAACACGCTCCTAAAACGCCGTTCATAGTAGACCAATAACGGTCTTAGATTTAGATGTACTTGCTAGCGGAAGCGTGTCGGTCTCTGACCCTAACTCTGACCTGTAGTTTGCACAGCGGGAGATGCATATGTACTTATAGGCAACATTTTTCCTGTCAGCACCAAAACAATAATTTGGAATGATGATTTGTCCGCTGATTTCTTTTGTGAATATTGATAATTCATTTTGAAATGGAATTAAACTTCTAATGGCATCCGTTTGGAACTCAACAGTACATTACATTTAACATCTAACCAGTAAATCTACACGACCCCGAAACAATTCCATTTTATGAATTCATAAGATTAAAAGTATATTTTATGTTGGTGGTTTTCCACTTATCTTTTTTTTTAATTTCTATATTTTCAAGGTGAAGTTAAGGGAATAGTCTTGACCATTGGTTCTTCGACAACAATACGGATACGTCCAGTTGGTAGCTTATTTTTGCAATCTCAAATTCTGAATTTGTTGTTAAAAAATATTTAATCAATTTGTCGAAAAATAATTAATAACCCAAACTAAATAACGTACATGTAATTGTTTATTTTTATTTAAACTAGACGATAGCAAATGTTAAAAAGGAGATGAAATATGAAACTTGTTTTCGGAAAATATTGGATATGAATATCATCATATTATCTTACAAATCTAACTGAAATGCTGCAAGCGAATTCCGTGTAATAATTGTTTTTTCTTAAAATCGTTCTTCTCTACTTATATCTCAAACAAGTATAATTCTTATGATATTCTCCTTAGTGGTATTATTTGATAATTTTAATCAGTATTTATATGAATGATATTGAACCCGGAGCATAAGTTATAGGTATCTTATCTATACATCTTACAACACAACATACATGTTTACATTCTATGCACCCTGTTACGCTTAATCATATTCATTGCTGTACCCACGGACTTAGATTAGATAATCTAATTCCGTGCTGTGCCTAAAGTTACACATTTTCATTTGTCTGAGCACGGAATAATATTATCTAAGTCCGTGGTCTGAGTGATGAAAACATAATCTGAAATCTGAATTACTTATGTAATTCCCTCCTTAAAACAGCCTTGAACCAAAGTATTTTATTGCGTTCTTTTGACCGTCATTTTGATAAGTATATTGTACAAACAACATTGGTAAATTATCCGCCATGTTTGATTATCATGTCGGATTATACCAAGGGGAATCGTTATCTCCCATCCTTTTTTCATTATTTGTTTATGATACGGAAAGTGAATTTATGAATTCTAATTGTCAAAGTTATGAATTACAGTTGATAAACCTGTTTATGCTGATGTATGCGGATGACAGTTTTATTCTCGGAGTATGCTACCGATCTTCAGCATATGCTAGATCGTTTACAGACATACACTGAAAAATGGAGTTTAAAGGTAAATATAGAAAAAACTAAAATTATTGTTTTTAGAAAAAGAAAAAGAATGTTACCTTCTGAAATTTGGACTTTCAATGGTAAATCTATCGAAATTGTTGATAAGTTTTGTTATCTTGTATGAGTTTTTACCTAAAATGGAAGATTTACTGTAACACAAGATACATTAGCTTGTCAAGGACGGAAAGCATATTACCGCTTAAAAAGAAAAATGAAAGATTTTGCCCTTAATACGAAGAAGAAAGAAAACCATTTTGGCGATTCACATGCGGCGACTAGATGTACTGTTAAAAAGCAACGGGTTACAAAGACAGACCATTCCAAAGAATGGCAATTGTTTCTTTGAAGCAATTTCTAAAGCAAAAAACAAAGTTAAAAGTGCTGAAAGAATTAGAATGGAAGTATGTGAACATATTGCACAGTTTAAAAAGCATTACATTGAATATTTGGTACCTTCTGGATCGGACACCTTTGAGACCAGCAGAGAAGAGTACTTCAACTCTCAAGTTCAGTTTCTGAAAGAAGATGGGCACTGGGCAGCCGATTTAGCTGATGTACTTCCAATGGCAGTATCCAATTTATATGGTAACAATATTACAATTTACACAAGTCAGCCATCTCAGCCAGTCATCAGTGTTCAACCATCTCTGTCAGCTGTGGATTCGTCTAAGGATAACATAAGCCTTGCATTTTGTTCACCTCACGGAATGGAACATTACGATGCATGTACCATCATGTCAGTAGAAAATGCAAACCAGGGGAATTATGCGGATTTAGAATCATATGAGGTAACCCCCAAAAAAGCAAAAAGTGGACGTGAACTATTCAGACAAATTACACCACGAAAACAAACGAAATTTACAACACCACCAAAGAAAGTTCTCACGCGTAAACGTAAAGTCAACCCAGAAAAATGGAAGAAGAATGTTAGGAAAACCAAACGCCAAAAAGGAGATGAGTATGTAGGTGTAACCGGAAAAATTGTTCCCAAACGAGCAGTACAAAAACAAGATTGTAGCAAATGCAGATTTAAGTGTTCATCCAAGGTGTCTGAAGCAAGGAGACAAATCATTTTTGATTCATTCTGGAATTTGAATTCACGTGACAGACAAAGAGATTTTATTGACGACCACGTTTTGGAAAGGGAAAGCAGAGGCTGCATTGACAACAAAAGGAAACAAGTTGCAAGAATATTTCAACTTAATGCGGAAGGGAAAACTGTTAAAGTTTGCAAAAGGTTCTTTCTGACAACATTGAATATTGGAAGGAAATTTGTTGACTGTGCATTGAAGATTAAGGATTTGGAATCCGAATCCAGAAAGCATAGAAGCCCTCCCAATAAGACATCAGAAACGGATAAACACTCGGTCAGACAACATATTGAGTCATTTCCTACAGTTGAATCTCACTATACCCGAAAAGACTCGGAAGAGGAAGTACTTGAGCTGTGACTTGACAATTAATAAAATGTATTCACTGTATAAAGATGAACAGATCAAGGCCGTGGCATCTTTTGCAAAGAGTACAATCTATCCTTTCATAAGCCCAAAAAAGATCAGTGCAATATTTGTAATGAATATACACAGAAAAAGAAAATGGAACAGTAGATGACAGTTTGAAATTGAAGTACGACAACCACCAGCAACGCAAATCAGAAGCAAGACAGGAGAAGAAAAAGGACAAAACTAGAGCAAAACGTGACTTGACTTTTAATGCTGCTACCTTTGATATGGAATCGGTTTTAACAACCCCATGCTCTTTGGTCAACCAAGCATATTACAAAAGAAAATTATGCTGTTACAATCTTTCTGTTTATTCCCTTGGTGATAGCAAGGGACAGTGTTACCTTTGGAATGAAACGGAGGGCAAACGAGGATCTTGCGAGGTCGGCAGTTGTCTTTTAATGTACTTAAACTCACTACCAAAAGAGGTTGAACACGTGTCGTTGTTTTCAGACACATGTGGAGGCCAAAACAAAAACAAGTTCATCGCTACCGCTTTGTTGTACTCTGTAACGACCAGTACAAGTATCAAGGTGATCGACCAGAAGTTCCTTGAACCAGGTCATACTCAGATGGAATGTGATTCTATGCATTCAGCAATTGAGTTTGCAAAGAAACACACATCCATTTTCGTACCCAGTCATTGGGATACAGTTGTGCATATGGCAAGGCGTACAAAACCATACACAGTCATCCCTATGAAACATTGGGATTTCAAAGATCTAAAAGAAGCATCAAGGGCGTACATTACAAACACACAGTATGATGAATCTGGAGAAAAAGTGCAGTGGAGGGAAATCAAGCATATCAGAGTTTCCAAAGAAAATCCAGGAACAATTCAATTCAAGACAAGCTTTCAGGAAGGAAATTTTAGAGTCATAAAACGTTTGCCATCAACTCGACGCACAGCAAGAAAACATGATGACATACCACCACGATATACTGAGAGGCTGGCTGTAACAGAACAAAAGAAGAAAGATCTCCTTGCCCTCTGCTCGGCAAACATCATTCCCGAGGAATATTGGCAATTTTATAAAATGCTACCCACTGAGAAGAAGACAAAGGAAAAATTACCAGAGCCTGATGTTCTTGAGGAGGATATTGACTCTGATGAATAATTAGAGCTGCTGATAAGAATGAAGTTCGCGGGTATCAAGCGT